TCTAAAATTAGAAGTGTTATCCACATACACTTTGATCAGGCACCTGATGCATTGAATCTATCTTCTAGTGATATACATTTTTGTTTATTTTGTATTTCTTTCTTTCATTGTTTATAGTACTTCTACCTCACTGTTCAGCAAAAAGGCTTGCACACCAGCATTCAATTCTTAGTTTGACAATTCCTTGACCCTGGTTTTACAATCTAAAGAGACACAATACAGAAAAAATGGGAATGGCAATGGGGAAAGAGGTTGTGTTGATACACTTGCTCACACAAGGATTTCCCAAGGAATACTCACTGAAAGAGTTTTCAAGAGCTTTTATGCACTTTTCTTCATATTGCTTAGCTTTTTTAACAGACATTTTGCTTGCGCAAAAAATACTGCAGAAAAATATATTGTTTTTTTCTGAAAAAAAAGTCCTACAATGAGAAAGGTATAGTGTTGGTTGGCTATTTCCCATAGTATTAAGGCACCCTTTCTCATTCAAGATGAGGAAAAGAGGTTGTATTGCTTCCATCCCTGTTCCTTTTCTCATCTCCTGAAAGTCCCAAGCAGGGAGACCCTTTCTGTGTGGACACTGGGTAATGGAATCTATGCAATTAAACCAAGAAATGTGTTTTTTTTCATACAGCTGGCATAAAAAAAATGTTTGATATGTTTTTTGGGTACAAACTCTCATAAATATATAATGAACACCAAGGGAAATCCAATATGTTCCAAAATCCAAAATTGTTCACATGGGTGGAGATAACATTTTTGCTTTCTGACGATGCAATCTACGCAAACTTTCTTTCATGCACTTTTTAAAAAAAACATTGTATAAAATTAATTTCAGGCTATGTGTATAAGGTGTATATGAAATATACATGAATTCCATGTTTAGTTTTAGGTCCCAAATCTAGTTTTAAAAAGAAAGAAAAAAAACTTCAAAATCAAAACCACTTCTGGTACCAAGCACTTCAGACAAGGGATATTAAGCATATAGATATTGGGGAGAAGGCAGAAATTTGGAAGATATTTTACTGAAAATCTCCAATGCTTTCATAAGCATAGAGCTCACCAATGGCAATTGCATTTCTTTTTCCTAAGGTGTGTCCCCCAGCCTGGCTGATTCAAGAGCAACAGGAACTTTGCTCATAAACAAAAGCCCCCTCAATTGGAAAAAAAACCCCCACTGTATCCATAACATATGCCCCAAATATTATGGCTTTATGGTTTCTTATATATTTTAACTATTCATCTACTCCATTACTTTTTTCATATTTTTGTTGTTGTTCAGATACTTCCTTACTATTTGAACTGATAAGCTGATTTAACATTTTTCCTTATACATTGATTGCAGCAAAACTAAATAACAGAAGAAGACAAAGCAGCAAATGCATTGGCCGCCTATTTGCCAATTTGCAATTTCATTGTTTCAGAACCAACATCTTTTCAGGACATCATGCAGAAAAAAAGAGTGGCACCACACAAAAATGATGGGAATTTCTGAGAAAATGCTGCAAAATAACTTCTTTTTTTGTTCAAGAGACAAACAAAAGCAACCAATGCTTACATTCCTATTTGTTAAGCCTAACTAGACTCACTCAATGAATGGGAATATGATAGCTCAACACTTATGTAAGCTCCTGTCTGCTTGGCATTCACAATTGAATTTTGCCCCATATTCTGGGAATGAAATCACCTACCTGCAGTAAGTTCTATCCATATGTACCTGAAAGTAAATTCCATTAAATTTAATAGAATTTCTAAGTGTGTACATTGTTGTTCTATTCTCTAACCAGAAAGAATTGGCTTTAATTTTCAATATACTAGATAATAGTTACCTGTCCTATATAACAGACATTACTACAAAAATGAAATAAAAATTTAATCTGATAGATCAATTTTAATCTGCATGAACTTTTCACTATAAATATGCAGTTTTGCTCTATCATGTTCTGAAGCTTATCACGGCAGGTCTGATTGCCTGTAACTTCTTTATGAGTTGGAAATAAAGAAGTCATGGTGTAATATATATATATATATATATATATATATATATATATATATATTCAGAGTAATTTTGATATTTTCAGTTTCTATCCATATTCATTATGTTTATAGAATACTGTTCCACCTAAACGATAAGCATAATGAAAAGAAGCTGAAAATACATACAAATTACTCTGAGATATATATGTGTGTGTGTGTGTGTGTGTGTGTGTTCATTATGTTTATAGAAGACGGTTCAGCCTAAACTAGGAGCCCCAGGTGGCGCAATGGGTTAAACCTTTATGCCGGCATGACTGAAGACCAACAGGTCGGAGGTTAGAATCCAGGGACAGTGCGGATGAGCTCCCTCTGTCAGTTTCAGCTCTCCATGCAGGGACACTAGAGAAGCCTCCCACAAGGATGGTAAAACATCAAGCATCCTGGTATCCCCTGGGCAACACCCTTGCAGACAGCCAATTCTCTCACACCAGAAGTGACTTGCAGTTTTTCAAGTTGCTTCAGACATGAAAAAAAAAGCCTAAACTGGCTGTTTAGTTGGGTTCCAACACAATAAACTGAAACAATTTTTGTCTCTCTCATACACATATCTAAATATAAATCTGACAATTAATATGCAAAAATCTTTAGTGGAGCAGGACAAAACAGCTATCTTTAGAGAATATTGATATCTTACACTAGATTGTTTCCATGTTCTTGGGGGTACAATTGATATACTATAAGTAACCACTTCATAAAACAAGAGCTGAAGATGATTAGCCAAAATCCAATTGACATCACTGCAGATACAAGCAGCTTGGTTGGATTGCTGTTGTCGATAGAAGTCCATGAAGGGATTAAGAAGTTGCACAGTCAAATAACAGCAAAAATCTATGTCCAAGAAATCCATAAGCAAAATTGTATTTTACCTGCAGTGTTTCTAAATACTGCTTGGAAGGAATTCAAAATAGAAACCAGCTCTTCTGCTACAGGAAATGGGAGTTCTACTGCAGTGATGTGCAATTGGTGGGCTTTTTACAGTTTTATAATATATGAATTATACAAAAACCAGTGCAAAGTATTTTATACCCTTGACACTGAGCTCCTGACTGTGATAAGACACTCTTGCAAGAATCTTTTTTAAATTCATGTTTCAGCGATATATCATTGTTTGAAATGAATACATGTCCATTTTGTGTACAAAGTCATTTAATGCAGCATTGCCAAAATGGTAGCCGAAGGGCACTGAGAGAAAGACAAGGAGAAATGGATGGAAAATATGCACAGGTCCTGCTGTGCACAACAGCAATCGAATTCTTTCATAACAACTGACTGATGGATCTTAGCAGATATGCAGTGGAATCTGAGAGTAACAAATAATTAGATATAACCATAAAAAGTACAATTTAGGAATGCTTATTATGCAGCAGGTATCTGTTGGTGATTTGTGTTCTTTCAATGCTTAAATAATACATAGAAAAATATCTTCATTATTCAGCAAAAATATTTAAATCTTATTTGCTTAATCATACAAAACAGTCTATAGCGATCAAGATCGTGGCATATTGACAGAGGTTTGAATAAGTGCATGTTCTTCAAGAACATACCTACTTTAACCTCTACATTCATTTGGTTTAAAATTAGTCAGATCTCATAGTTCAGTGAAAACTGCAGAGAAGTAGCAGCATCAGCTAGTGGCAACCTAGCAAATGAACAGTCCACACAGATGGGGATGGAAAAGAATTTCACTGGATTTGACTGTCTGTGAAAAGGGAATTTCAGCACTTCCTGAGACTTGTTGCGAGAAGAAAAGCACCTTGGCTTATGAATTCACATATCTAGTTTCCCAAGGTGTTTTTGAAAAAATAAAGTATCTCAAAACAATATGAACTAGGCTTGGGCAATTCAACTGGAGGGCAATCTTTTTTGGTATTCAATTTTGTTGAATACCCAAATCAGTTTTCAGGAACCTCTCAAAAATCAGCTAATGGAGAAATCTGTTTTCATCTAGGCATCCGAAAGAACCTGGAAGATCCGTCCCATTAGCGGAAAGGGGGAACTTAAGAGGCTCCTCTTTTTGTTCCTGGGGCCCCTTCCTTTCTTCCTTTCAAGAGAGCCTGGGTTTGAGGAATGGAGTTAGGGAAGCACATGAAACAACGAAATTGAAATGGCAATTTTCACAACCTTACTCATATGCTTGAGTGTTGAATATGGCTTTAAGCAATCAGGATTCATGTTTGGTCATGGAAAACTTGGGCGAGTGACTCTCTCTCTCTCTCTCAGGCTCAGAGAAATGCAGTGCCAACTTCTGCCCCCCTCAAACAAATCTTGCCAAGAAAGCCCTATGATAGTGCTGCCATGTCAGGGATTTGAATTTGACTCAAAGGCACACAACAATCCAATTTGTAGACAAAAATCTGCTTTTTAAAATCTATAAAGTGGATTGTGAAGATGCTAGAAATATACAGACACATGAAGGATGTGTATACAGTGTTCCCTCACTTATCGCAGGGGTTCTGTTCCAGGACCACCTGCAATAAGTGAAAATCTGCAAAGTAGGGACACCATATTAATTTTAATATTTATACAACATTTTATATATTTTACATATTATTTTCTTACCCGCACTTCAACACCCTCCTCCCGGCCCATCCCAAGGGCACCTGCCTGACTCCCTGGCCACCGCAGACCCCAGCAGAGCCTCTGGAGCCACGCAGGAAGCAACAAGCCAGGGAGACAGGCCTTCCCTGCTGCACCTCAGGCCACTGCCCTTCCGGGGTCTGTGGAGGCCAGAGAGGCAGACTCTCCCCACAGCGCCTCAGGCTGCTGCACTTCCAGGGTCCCTGGACTCCACTGGACATAAATATTTTATATTTTTAATTAATATTTTCAGAAACTCTCAAAACAGAGAGTCTGCTAAAAGTGAACTGTGAAGTAGCGAGTGAACACTATATATATATATATATATATATATATATATTCTACAGTTTACATGGAAAGATAAAAGGAATCATTTGAAATAGCTATCATTTTTAAACAGTTGTTCAGTTTATAAAGCTATTTGCATCTGCATCAGATGTAGAATCCATTATATAATCGAGTTCTTTGTGCAATGTTTCAAAGGATGGTCTTTCATTGGGGTCAGCATTCCAGCATTTGAACATGATGTCATACAGATTTTGAGGACAGTTTTTTGGCTGAGGGAGTCTGTACCCTTGATCCAGGTTCTGGAGCACTTGATAGCCCACCCAACCTAAAGTTTAAAAAGAGAGAGTTTGAAATAAATAATTAATCTTATTTACTAATTTACCTTACTTTTTATGCCACCCATATCCCAGATTAGGACTCAAGGTAGCTCTCAGATAAAATTGGTTAAAATCTAACACACACACACACATCTTATTTTTATAATATGAAATTATTCTAAAAGACTACAAAGGTTAAAAAATGTACAAAGCTCACACTCCAATATGAAACCTTTTTAAGATCACATAAAAGTTAAAAACATTGGGAGAGTAATAATTGCCTATTAAAAGCCTGGCTGAATAGGAATGTCTTCACCAGGGGAGCAAAAGGGAAGCAGGGAGAGGGGCAGCCTAGCATCCCTGGGAAGGGAGTTCCAGAGGGTGGGGGCAACCTCCGAAAAGGCTCCCACTTGTATCCTCACCAAGTGAGCCTATGGTGGTGGTAAGACTGAAAGAAAGCCTCCACCTGTGTGTCTTATTTAACATTTAATTTAATATAACAATAATAAGAACAGGAATAATGATGACAGCAGCAACAACAATAGTAATTTTATTTGTTATCCATGGTGAGTTATTTAAATTTTTACATTTTTCTGTGGATATTGCTGAATTTTAGGAAGACAGCTAATTGGTTGGGAAATCATAGTACAACAAAAATGATTCCTACTATAATTAAATATGGAAGACTGGAACCCATTGGCTTTAGTCTGCACACAGTTCATTTCTGCTTGAGAAGAAGATTGCTTCCCTTGTTCGTTGTTCCTTCTGTCTACAGAAGACAACCAGATAGGTCAGTATGGGGAGAGAATTCATACAGTTTGACACCATTTTAACTGCCATGGTGCAATGCTATAGTTTTGCAGAAGCTATTTATTTAGACTTCTCTCCCTCTCACCAAGCAAATCCAAGATTCCATAGCACTGAGCTATGACAGTTAACATGGTGTCAAACCGCATTTGACACCACTACAGTGTAGGTGCACCTCGAGTTATATAGAGCCAGCAGGGTGAGACCCATAGCTGTGTCCTCCAAGACATCACTGCTGCCATCACTACAGAACCAGGGGCCTCAATCAGCCATGTTATTCTGCCCAAGGGCAGGATTAGTATCTGCTAGCTGCTTACTGTGGATTATGTTCCAGACCACAAATATGGGTCTTTTAAGTGTTTTCATTCCACATGTAGAATTTCAAATTGTTGCCAGAATTTGGGGAGAGGGGGTGACTGATTTTAGAAATGAGTTCAACATTCTGTTTCCAAAGGGACACTCACCTGTATACGGCATTTTTCCATATGTCATTATTTCATAGAGGAGGATTCCAAATGACCAGACATCAGATTTAATACTAAATGTATTGGAGCGGATTGCTTCGGGAGCTGTCCATTTCACTGGTAGTTTTGTTTCATGTTTGGCTTCATATACATTTTCATTTTCTAGCTATTAAATTTTTAAAAAAGAATAATGCAGTAAAATAAATACTGAAAGTATGGTACAACACTGTCAAGTCAAGTCAAGTAACTTTATTTATACCCTGTCCCATGGATAACAAATTGGCCATCCAGGGTATTGCTTTTATGATGTTAATTTATTTTAATGTTTTTATTATTTGTTGCTATGGATTGTTTTTATTGTGTCTGTTTTATTTGTGATCCTTGGGCTTGTCCCTCTGTAAGCCGTCCTGAGTCCCTTCAGGGAGATGGAGGCGGGGTTCAAAAATAACGCTATTATATTACTATTATTATCTCCCCGTGTGGACTCAGGGTGGCTTCCAAGTCTGCTAGATAACATGATGTACGTATGTTTACTAATCTGCATTTTTGATTTCTTTCAAATGCAACTCCTCAGTAAAAAATTAAAATTAATTTTAAAAAATTTAAACTTTCTGATAAAGAAACACTCTACATCAAATAACCTTATATGTAAAGTATTAGAAAGAATCCCTGTCTATTATCTCAACTAGTATTGATGAACTAGCAAAGATTTATGTAATTTTTGCTTCTTCAAATGATTTAGAATCAAAGCAATCCCAGATTGAAAAGTCCTAGATTTTGTTCCTGTTCTTCCTGGTTTTTTTACTGGGTTAAAATAAACAAATTAAGTTGGTAGAAAAAGTTTCTGATCATCAAACTGGGACCTGAGAGAAAATAATCTGGGATTAACAAAAAGTGTGTTTGCATGTGGCCTTTTAAATCCATCTGGTTCCTTCTCAAAACCATCAAGTACTAGCCAGCATAATTAATGGTAAAAGGGATGGAAAAAGTAGTCCAAAACAAAGCAAAGAAGAGTCATGGGAAAGAAAAAGTATCTTCAGAAACCAAATAAAAACAGACAATTTCATAATAAGCTGTTTGAATTAGAAGTGAATAAACCACTGGCATTTTTTTCAGGTATGTACAGTAGTATGCCAGCAGTAAAGATATTTTTGTGGCCCACATGCAACTGTTGAGTGAACCTGAGAAATTTCACAGAAGGAAAGTTTCTCATCCCCTCATTCCACCTCCACACATCTGTTTCCCTCTTTAAAAAAACAAATCTTTGGTGGTGGCAATGGGATCTTCCTAAAATTGTGGAATGAAAAATTATTGTACTTAATAATTATAGTAGCCTTCGACAATACATTAATAATAATAGTAGCGAAATTTAAAGCAGAAAGACGGGGGGGGGGACATGACAGCACACTCAAGACTATTTTAGCACGAGCTTTCACGGATATAAATCTATTTCTTCAGATGCAGTACAGAGTGATAATAAGCCTTGGGTATAATGGAGAAATTGCTTATTGATTGTTCACCAAGCTGCTGATATCCACTACAACTAAAATATTTTTAAGGGTAGGGGATATAAGGATGGGGGATTATGGGGAGAGTGAATTGGGGGACTATTGTTTTTGTTTGTTTTGTTCTGATGTCTCTGTGTTTTTTGTTTTTCATTTCTGGTTCACTTGATTTAAGTTTCCTTTAAATTGCACCCTTTGGCATTTTAATACAAAAAAAGAAAGTTGTATTTGACCAAGCAGAGCCAGGCAGATACAATCTTTGTCTATTCATACTGAGCATTGTTTTATCAAAGACCCTACATGCAATAGTGAAATGTCCAGGATTAATTGGGGCCTAGCATTGAAAATCCTCGATTTGGCGATGACAGCAGTACAAATTCTCTGTTGGCACCAGAGGTGCAGGATTCATGTTTGGTCTTCAGAAGGAAGACAAGGAGACAGTAAGAGTTAATGCATTCAGGAACCTTTGTTTTGTGATTAATTGCTGGCACTGAAGAGCTATTGACTTTAATAATCATCATTTAAACAGTTCCTGGCCTTAAAAGGCAGACTGCAAGAGATTTAAATTAATATATTGGTTCAAAATGGCACCAGTTAATTTTGGCAAAGTAAGCTGACAAATACTGGGAAATAAATGGTGAATTATTTACACAAGTTACAAAATTGAGGTTTTCTAAGGTTAGCCTGCTTGCTTCCTGAGACCAACTATGTGAGGCTTTTTTTTATTGCACTTTCTCTAATACTTGAGAATATATTATGATGCCCCTGTGATTTGAATGAAGTCCGCAAGTGCTGGTGTAAAATTAACACATTTACAGCAGCAGTTCTTTATTTTATTATATAGACTTATACAAAAATAACTGTCTTGAGTCCCTATATTAAGAGAAAGATGGGATAAAAATAAATTAAATCAATAAAAATAAGCCAATGATTCTTCCAAATTTTGAGCTGCTAGAACATAATGCATACATCTTTGGCATAAAGAGATGGTGCGCTTCTCCAGAGAACATACAGGTGTCCCTCAATACATTGCTTAGGAAAATGGATACTGAAGTCTAACAACATCTGGAGGACCACAGGTTGCCCATTTTTAATCTAAGACATTGTTAATTGATTAATTCCTGCATTACATGACGACTATGAATCACAAATGGACCCTGGATACATATAATACTTTCAGGCACGGATTTCAAGCAATGCACTACTCCAATCTACCTGGAAAACACGTGCAAGTCCAAAATCTGCCACTTTGTAAACACTGTGATCACCAACAAGCACATTTCTGGCTGCCAAATCACGATGGATATAGCTCTTAGATTCAAGGTATGTCATTCCTGAAGCAACTTGAGCTGCCATGTCAATCTGTTGTGACAAGTGAATCATAAAACCTCCATCATCTGTAAAGAAGAAAAATAACTTGCAGAAATGGAGGAGTATCAAGATCTTAACATTGGTAGTATTAATCCAGACAATCAAGTGAAAGATTAAACTCACAAACTGAACAGTTGGTTCAGACTCAACAACTAGTAAAGAATAGAGAGTACAGGAAGGGCAGTGGATACTCATAATTTCCTTAAGTAATGAATATAGAATACCTATATTTGTTTTGGTTTTGCTGCTCATTGGTTTATGTATGGCTTATGTTAATTTAATATGCTGCACTCATTGCATGAAAACACCTACAAATCAAGTAATTGATTTGAAGCTATTTTATCAAGTGATGCAAAATCTGACTGTATTTGCCATATGTCTTTTACAATTTCTGGCTTTACAAGTCCAAATATTAGGTTGTAAAGGGCGAAATTCTATGCATATCTACTGAGAATTAAGTTTTGCTGACTTAACTAGGCCTTGTTGATGCAGTATAAATCATGTCTTTCATACTGTCATTAATGTGATTTGATGGTTTGGGCTTTCAAGTAGGGTTTCAGGATGTTTGTGTACTGCCATGACATTTGCTGTCTATAAGCATTAATGTTAGATTTTCCTTAATCATACAATAGAGAGGAGTTTTAGCAGGGCTGCTATTAAATGGAGTCACATCTGAAAACAAATAAAGTGTTACTTCTCTAATATTTTCCCATCTGGAAATTTTTGTGATGGCCTCATCAGAAAATAAAGGTGCCACATGCTCAGCCAATGGGCAATTTTGGAGAATTTCAAATTTTGGAATTCCAGATAAGGGATGCTCAGCCTGTAGTTTGAACTGATTTTATAAGTATACATATATTGATTTTGTACATGTCCATGTGCCTTCAAGTCCCCTCTTGACTTATGGTGTTGTTGTTGTTGTTCATTCGTTCAGTCGTCTCCGACTCTTCGTGACCTCATGGACCAGCCCACGCCAGAGCTCCCTGTTGGCCGTTACCACCCCCAGCTCCCTCAAGGTCAGTCCAGTCACTTCAAGGATGCCATCCATCCATCTTGTCCTTGGTCGGCCCCTCTTCCTTTTGCCTTCCACTTTCCCCAGCATAATTGTCTTCTCTAGGCTTTCCTGTCTCCTCATGATGTGGCCAAAGTACTTCAACTTTGTCTCTAGTATCCTTCCCTCCAATGAGCAGTCGGGCTTTATTTCCTGGAAGATGGACTGGTTGGATCTTCTCGCAGTCCAAGGCACTCTCAGCACTTTCCTCCAACACCACAGTTCAAAAGCATCGATCTTCCTTCGCTCAGCCTTCCCTAAGGTCCAGCTCTCACATCCGTAGGTGACTACAGGGAATACCATGGCTTTGACTAGGCGGATCTTTGTTGCCAGTCTGATGTCTCTACTCTTCACTATTTTATCGAGACTGGACATTGCTCTCCTCCCAAGAAGTAAATGTCTTCTGATTTCCTGGCTACAGTCTGCAACTGCAGTAATCTTTGCCCCTAGAATTACAAAGTCTGTCACGGTCTCCACGTTTTCTCCCTCTATTTCCCAGTTGTCAATCATTCTTGTTTCCATAATCTTGGTTTTTTTGATGTTTAGCTGCAACCCAGCTTTTGCGCTTTCTTCTTTCACCTTGATTAGAAGGCTCCTCAGCTCCTCCTCGCTTTTGGCCATCAAAGTGGTATCATCTGCATATGTAAGGTTAATTTTTCTTCCAGCAATTTTAACCCCAGACTTGGATTTGTCAAGTCCCGCACATCGCATGATGTGTTCATGCATACAAGTTAAAAAGGTTGGGTGAGAGTATGCAGCCTTGCCGTACGCCTTTCCCAATCTTGAACCAGTCTGTTGTTCCGTGGTCAGTTCTGACTGTTGCTACTTGGTCCTTGTATAGATTCCTCAGGAGAGAGACAAGGTGGCTTGGGATGCCCATCCCACCAAGAACTTGCCACAATTTATTATGATCCACACAGTCAAAGGCTTTAGAATAGTCAATAAAGCAGAAGTAGATGTTTTTCTGAAACTCCCTGCCTTTCTCCATTATCCAGCGGATATTGGCAATCTGGTCTCTCGTTCCTCTGCCTTTTCTAAACCCAGCTTGAACATCTGGCAACTCTCGCTCCATGTATTGCTGGAGTCTTCCTTGCAGGATCTTGAGCATTACCTTACTGGCATGAGAAATAAGGGCCACTGTACGGAAGACTTATGGTAACTCCATGAATTTTGCAGGTTTTCTTTGTTGAGGAATTCTCAGAGGTGCTTTTGCCAGTGCTAGTTTGGGCATGGTATTCAGTGATTGTATCCCATTAAGCACTCCAAGTGGCCAGATACTGGTCAAAGGACATTTAATCAGCTACCAAACTCACAAATTTTGTATTTTGCCTGTTTGTTTGTTTGCTTTGTTCTGTTAGAAATGTAATATAATTGACTGGTTGCCCTGACACGACAAATAAATGAATCCCATTAAAATACTAAACAGGGTTGATCCTGCTTTGCTACCAAGATCAGATGGGTTCCAGTGTCTTTAGGATATTTTGTGCTTTACACAAGCTATAAGCAAACAAAAAATAAGTAAAGAATGTTTGGAGAAGTGTGAAAAACTATGATCAATTGTACTGCAATTCCCATATTACCCCAGGATGTAACAATTAGTTCGATGCATTTTAAAAACAGACTGAAACTCCTGTTTCCAATATGTCTTTTTTAAATGTGAGATTCATCTAGTTGCTAAATTGTGGTCTTTTGCTTTTGGCTTTCCCACTATCCAGGCTCAAACTGGAGGCAATGAGGCTGTTTGAGTGACTGAGTTTTTATTCAAGACTGTAGGGAATGAAAATAGCCTGAAGAGATAGAGGGGGGAATGAGTGACAGGTAAGGGTCTTGGCAGACATGCAGTGAAAAAGAGAAATGTGTTGTGATAGCAGATCTTAGAGCAGGAGCAGCAGCTGTTACGCCGTCACCTTAGAGTTGCTCCTTTCCTTACCCAGCACCGAGATTTGCTTTTCATATATTGCTTATGTATGGTGAAAGCAGTGGAGGATTTTCTGGAACTGGTGAGTGGATGGATGGAAGAAATCCAAGCTACTTCTGTAAGAGCTAAAAAAGGATCCCTGATTTAAATCAGATCTTCTTTAGTGTGGAATTGTATTTAAAATAGCTTTGCCAATGCTAATGAGAATGCTGCAGTCCAATAATACAATACTGCACACCAGAGAGAGTTGTGCTTTCAGAGTTTTATGCTTTAGGAAAGAGAGGAGTCACAGTTTGCAATCTTATGCAACTGAATGGAGAGAAAGTGCCCCTCCACACAGCCCTATAACCAGAATATCAAGGCAGAAAAATCCCACATTATCTGCTTTGAACTGGGATATATGGCAATGTGAACTCAGATAACCCAGTTCAAAGCAGACATTGTGGGATTTTCTGCCTTGATATTCTGGGATATAGGGCTGTGTGGAAGGGCCCTGTATTTCCTTCTAGGCATTCAGTACTTGCAGTGACAACTACTACTCCAAAGCATGTTTATTCATCATTTTGTTTTGCAGCTTGTTTTGTTGCTGGCTGAACTACTCTTATGTAATTTGTAAGGCCACCACCACTCATTCCCAAAGACTGTATTCATAATTCCGTGTTTTTGAAGGCAGTGACTGTGTGCACATTTCTAATATAATGCAAACGACAGAATACACCCTTGATATCTAAAATAAGAGATGTCAAGGCCCAGGTCTACCTAAAAGCAGTAGGCTATAATTTGGAACTACTTCTTCCTAAACTCTCATTTTTTGTGGCTGGTAATGCTTGCTCACTGATGAAATAAAAACAAAGGGGTGGTAACATACTGAGTCTCACAATAGTGCTTAACTGATCTTTATGTTAATCATGAGGACCCAGTACCTGAAAAACCACATGCATAGCAGTTAGATTGTCTGCTGTTAGTCAGACAATCATAGCAGTTAGATTGTCACGTCTTCTAATTCTAATGACTGCTTAATATAATGATGGTGAAATTTTCAAGAGAAAACAGAATGATTGCTCAAACCAGAATGAACAATTGTGGGAAAATGAGTAAGACTTAGGTTCAAAACTCAGCTTAGCTATGCAGTTTACAAGAAGACGAGGCTAAAGCTAAACAATTTTATAGGGGTTTTTTTTGTTATGACAATTGAAAGATAGACAAAAACATGCACAAGATATAAAATGGAAACAGCAAATTGGCAATTGCTTTCCCCACTGAACTACCCTGAATGGTTTGTTAGGTGATCCCTCGTTGGCTGAGTAGGATAGTCTTCCATGATCAGTATTCTTGTGGATCCTTAGGTGGCTGTGGAGCCCTATTCTTGACCTGCATTTTCTCCCACAGTGAGGACATTGGTTTCCAGGTGGAAGGCGGCCTCGGTCGGGGTTGGCTTGACGTGACTTCCTCCCGGCACGTTTCTCCCTTTCACCCTCCATTCATGCCTCTTTAAATTCTGCAGCATCGCTGGTCACAGCTGACCTCCAGCTGGAGCGCTCAAGGGCCAGGGCTTCCCAGTTCTCAGTGTCTAAGGCAGAGATTTTAAGGTTGGCTTTGAGCCCATCTTTAAATCTTTTTTCCTGTCCACCAACATTCCATTTTCCGTTCTTGAGTTTGGAGTAGAGCAACTGCTTTGGGAGAGGGTGGTCGGGCATCCGGACAACGTGGCTGATCCAGCGGAGTTGATGGCAGAGGACCATCACTTCAGTGCTGGTGGTCTTTGCTTCTTCCAGCACGCTGACATTTGTCCACTTGTCTTTCCAAGAGATTTGCAGGATTTTCCGGAGGCAGCGCTGATGGAATCATTCCAGGAGTTGCATGTGATGTCTGTAGACAGTCCACGTTTCGCAGGCATATAGCAGAGTTGGGTGGGCAATAGCTTCGGTTTGTTCCAATGTTCCTCAACATTTTTGGGGTGTTCTGTGGGTGGATGGTCTTTGAGTGCTGTTTGGAGAAGGGCTCGTCTGGAGGGCTCCTGAAGGGCTTGGGTGTTCATTTTGCGCCTTGTCTTTCTTCCTTGGAGTCTGCGCTTGGGGGTGATCTTGATAGCTATCGTGGATCGGATTAGCCTGTGGTCTGTCCAGCAGTAGTCTTGATGGACTGTCACCTTGTCGTGGTGAGGGGGCTTGCGTGTTCCAAATAACCTGCAGGCACAATGACTGGAGTCGTCCAGGAGTGGCCACGGGGGAAGTTCCAGTCCAAGCACAGTCTGAAGACCCAAAGACCTCAATGGTGGAGCAGGCAGAAGATAACATGGTACATGTTACAATGGCTGTGAAGGCGGAAGAGGGCTGCAATAGATTCAGAAGCCATGGTCATTGTGTTAAACTACACCACTAGTGGAACCTCAGTCTGTGAAGACTGTGTGTTGATCAGTTGTGCACTGACCTCCACACATTAAAAAAAACTCACGCACAGGATTCTGAGGATTCTGAAAATTGTAATCACAAAAAATTGTTTTTCCCAAGTTTTGACATTCGCCTTCATACAACATTGCAAACTGAAATGTCTCCTACTCACTTTGGAGATATTCTAGCAGGCTTCCATGTCTCATCAGTTCAGTAATAATATAAATAGGATCCTCTAGAGTGCAAACCGCATAGAGTTGTATCAGTTTTGGGTGTCTCAAATTTTTCATTATATGTGCTTCCCTCAGGAAGTCCTTTGGATCCATCGAACCTGAAATGAGAACAACCACAAAAGACAATTATTCCACGTTTATCAATTCCTGCATGCCCTGCAGATTTGTGTATTAATAATTATGTGTGCTTTGGGTTTTTTTACTAGTCATATGGAACACCACTTAAGAAATTAATGGAGGTGAAAAATGGCAAAGACAAATGTGGGTTCTGTATTACTTTCTTAAGTTAATAAAAAAGATAACTATTGCCGCTGCTCTGTTCCTGTCCACAACCAAAAAATCCCCCATAAAGGCTATTGTTCATTTTATGACTAAAGCTAGAGGGATGTTTTATTGTTTTCACTGTGGCTCCTAGATGCTAGAAAGGTAGCAATGATTAGAAATGCAGAGGTAATTTTCAACATTAGTTGTCTACAGCAATCCCTCTAACTCATGACCTAAGCCATAATGATTCACTTCTTCATCACCTCTGAGCCACATTGTTGCAGCTCATTATATCTTGGAACAGAACATACTTATTACTTCACGCTTTATTGTAATCTTCACAGTCAAGAAGTGAAATACAATGTTCTGCTGTACCTCAAAAGCAGTATGTTTGCCAAGTCAGATTTTGGAAGCTTCCCAGACTTAGGAGAACTGCACCTTCTCCATACTTGTTCCAGCAATATTTATTTTAAAAAGAAATCGTGTAAAACACAGTGACATTACTAGTGAATATAGAAGCAGGCAGACTGCACCAGGTAACACCATTAGATGTAGTGACACCCAATAGGGCAGTTACTCACTGTTCATCTCAAGACAAAAACACCCCAGTCATCCTTGTCTGTGTACTAGGGTTGCCTCTGTCATCCATCCACTATAGCTGCTTGTCGGGGTAGAGTGCTACTGTTTCCTGGTGGTCCCTTCTGGGTCTGGGCAGGCTACCAGCCAGACTAGGAAAGGGATGCAATAGCAGCAGTAGCGACTGCTTACTCCTCCCCTTCTCTAGAAAAACACACAGGGCAAGGAAGTGAGAGGGAATGGAGAGCGAGACAGGCAATAGGTGTTAGGCTGCTGTGCTGGAATGAGAGGTGGTGAAGTAGGCAATGGTGAATCCCTCTCTTCATCTGCTGAATCCACTCCCTTGTCCTCTCTCTCCACAGTTCCACATCCCAATCGTGGGCAGTGGCAATGTGTGTGCGTGTGGGGGGGGGGGTTAGCACCTGGTACTGTTACCAGGGAGGGAGGTTCGGGGCTTTAGGTCAAGTTGCTACAAAGGCATCCTCCTCCCCCTCCTCTTCTGCAGCTCTCTCCCAGTCCCCTTTCATGGGGTCTGGGAGATTTCCCAGACCCCTTTCAAACTACACACTTATAGCTTAATGATTCCACATTAATTGCCATGTGTCCAACCTATGGAATGTGGGTATTTGTAGTGTGATGAGTCACTAGAGCACTCTGGCTAAGGATTCTCAATATTCCTTCCTAAACAAGAAATTCAAAAGTTGCACAGGAACCTCCCTACCTCTGAGGATGCTTGCCATAGATGCAGGAGAACATCAGGAGAGAATGCCTCTAGAACATGGCCATATAGCCCGAAAAAGCCTACAACAACCCAGTTGCACAGGAAGTTGCCATAGTAAAGATGAACCAAAGTGCTATATTTGTATAATGTGGCAAGACCTCTAGGCCATTCTCCTAGGACTTCATCCACTCTCACAAGGCCTTTTTCCATCCCCATCTCTCTTACAAGCCAACAAAAAACTGGCAATACCAAAATCCAACTTCAGAGCTGGTGCCAGAATACAGAAATATAGCTGTGAAAACTTGTCCACATGAGGAGTCCACTAGACTTATAAATACTGCTGGCATAATTTGAAATACACAAACACAAATTCACACTACTACCATGGACCCAACAGTGATGCTTTAATAAAATATGTTAAAGATATTCATGAGACTGCATTGCATTTATGAAAATTCCTGCCAGCTTAATTAGAAATCTTATGACTCTCTGCGTAAGGTTAATTGGATCCCTTTCTAAAATGTAAAGGATGTAGAGTTGACTAATCATTTGGCCTTTTATTTCAGCAGTAGCAGGATCAAAGACCAGTTTCTATGCAATTGGAGAGAAAATGGACTGAAGTAAATGTGGATTTATCTTGTGAGCTACTTAATAGTGCAACATTTCACCCTTCAATATTCCTAGAAATATTGTTCCTACACTATTTTTTATTAAACAGATAAATTGTTTCCTTCCATATCGCACAATAAATGTTTTACTACACCTTCATAATACACCAATATTTTATACACTAGGGGAAATATTTCCACAACCTTTTGATGAGTATTGATCCAATTAACTGCAAACATAAATACTAATAACACACACATACACATGTGTGTGTGTGTGTGTTATTAGTTGCATAGAATGGATACTGAATGTTTTAAAATCTGAATAAATGAAATGAAACCAAGTCTGAATACAATTAAATTAAAACCCGTAGATCTCTGAAGAGTTAAAGACAGATCAAAATAATATATGTAGTTTCTACAAATACATTTGATATTGCATTTACATTTACTATTTACTGTAAATTGCCAAGAGAATTGAAGCAAGCCTTACCAGCATCCAGCTGATTATTTTGAAAGGACATTGACTATTTGCTTTCCACTTTCATAAAAACAGGAATTAAATTTTACTAAGCATTGGCCACAGCCTTTTGCCCAAAATGTCATGCTGAAGCACTACAAATAGAACTAGACAAATTTAGGAATGAGAGGAAATAGAGAGCAATCATAGGATATTACAAAGGGAAAGGATTGGGAGCAGATGTAAAGGTAAACACTGGTTGACTGCTACCAAACAAACATTCTGGCACCAGCAAGGTGTTGAGTAGATGGTCATTGGGAACCCTGCCAATTATACGATTTGAAGCTTGGGTTCATGCTCACTCTCTTTCCCCTTCTCCACAAATCTGCATGTGAGAGGGGGGAGGCAGGGGTGCCATAAAATAATTTGCACTGGGAAGAGAGCAGAGACAGATACTGGAGGCAGAAATTTGCCTGAAATCCTTTGGGGAGCATGTGGTCCATGAGCCATATGTTGGGCAGGTTTGTTTCAAATGCTTGACTGCATTGCAAGAAAATTGGTAATTGACATTAAATCCCATTTTGGAGAAAAGGTGGAATATGAAATAAATAAATAAAGGTATGAATTTCCTGAATTTCAAGCAGTGGTCTCAATTAAAACACATTATCTGAATCAATGGAAGCTATTAAGTCAAAGCCTTGGGTAAGTTCCATTGATTCAGTGGGCTCGCTCTATTTGGGACTGACAGCTGGAGTTAATTGTGAAATTGCAGTCCTCCTTCTACTTAGAAATGCAGTGCACAACAGTCTTAGTCAGCATGATAAAGAATGTTAGGAATTGGGGAAACACATCACCTGGAGGACTACAGTTTGCCTATCCAGGATTTAAGCCACTGAAACGTGAGTTGTATGAAATGTGTGGATGTTGAATATTTTGATTTCATGGAAAAGGGATTTTTCAAGCTGTCTGTTGAGAGCATGGCTCAACTGTTTTAAAAAGATTCCCCAGGTACATAAATATCAGATAGAGGAGACATGTGGTCAGCACTTTTAGAAAAATTCATCCAAGTAAGAAGATAAGCATGCATTCATGCAGATACCACAAGCTGTCAGGAGTTGGCTTTCAGTTCCCTGAATTAAACAGAAGCACGCACACATGGAGCAACAAAACGTAAAAGAAAAAAGCCATTCATGAATCTCATGCATATTTTAAAGGATATATTAAAATGTATCATACAGGTTAAAAGTAATTTTTCTTATATTTCCTTCTGTTTCTATCTATTTTTTCTCTCTCCAGTGAGCTCAAGGCGACATATCCTGCTCCTATCAGCCTCTCTGAGGCATGTTAAGCTGAGTGAGAATGACTGGCTTTAGGTCAACCTGTATGATTCACGGCACAACAAGGACTAGGATCTGGGTTTCCCAAGCACCATACCAACTCAATCCCTAACCATTAGTTTCATTGGCACTAGTGAAACAGTGAAGAATCTTAAGCTATACCACATATATTTAACATATTGGTTAGATTAACTCTGAGAAGTCACTCCAGACTTATTCCCTTGTATATAAGATCTTGAAACAGAACTGTTAAAATGCTTTGTGGGTAATTGATTACAACAATAAATATATGGAGCTAAGGAAGCATTCTGGGCAATATACAGAAGATATGCATTAAGATAGCAGAAGATGAACCACTTCCTCCACAATCAACCAGTGAATCTATTGTTCCCAGTTCCTACTGTAGTAAAATCTTCCTGCATCCAAAGCAAAATATAATTTGTCAGTAGTAAGTGCAGGTTCAAATCCCATTTTTGAATAAAAAAGAAACGAAGTATAAAGCATTATGACAACAAATTGCACTTTCAATTCACTCGTGTTAATTAGTGCTCCTAACCACTGAAACTGAAGAATATGTTACTGAAATCCAAATACTTTTAGGTTTTAAGTTTGTAAATCATGCAGAGTGTTATAGTGGAGTACTGAATTACTCAATAAAAACTGTGTTGGATTGAATTTGCATCTTTCATATTTAAAGTAGTTTCTAGATCCAATTATAAAATAACTTAGAAGTTTCAAATTGGTATAAATCAAATCACATTTCCCAATCTGATTTGCACATATACATTTTGCGTACAAATATTATTCTAAAATTAACTAATTTAAAATGTAGTGAAATTTGACCACCTGTTCATACCTGCTGCTTTATTGGATTACAAAATCCCATTCTTACTTTCATTTTTTAAAAGAATCATAACAAACATCACAATGCTGTAATATTGCTCCAGATTTATCATGTTGTAGATGGAAAATTCTAAGTCATCAGGGAACAGTTTGGGTGGAAACAGGTAGTACAGCTAGATAAAGCTTTTGTTTCAGTCCATACAGGAGATAATAGTAGGTGTAGTTAAAGTGTGAGGTTAAAGCAGGGCTACCGAGGCAAAATCACTATTTACTCATTATATAAGCATATTGAATCAATGCACTAGACCCATTTTTATTTCCATCACTGTTCTCAGGCAAAGAGCAACAATTCTGAATATGTGAGCGGATAGTTTCCACGGATGCTTTCCATGCTAACAATGAACATCTACCCTTTTCTGAGAGCTTCATTGTTTTTTAAATGTATATAACAAGAAGGTTTCATGTAGTTCTCCCAATCCCACAATAGTTGAGCCTAATGATCTGGCACAAATGAGCAAGAGTTTTTCAACAATTACCCAGAATTTAGTTTCATATAATTTAAAAAAAGATCTTAATGTCTTTAAAATGTAAAAACAAAAGACCAGAATGCTAAACAGAACTTTTGAAAATTCTGCTTCCTTTCCTAGACTAGAATCTCCATTGGTCTCCATTTTGGGAGACCTTCACTCATAAATATAAATACCCTCTTCACCTTTCTGATATTCCTGCCTGACCTGAAAAACAGGGTGAGACACACGGGGTGAGACACAGAGACATACACAGGGTGGAAGAGCCTTCCATGATTGTACAAAATGCGAACTATCACTGGCAAGGGAAAACCATCTTTCTATCTTGTGTGCACACTTAAGGTCTCACTGGATACTCACACTGTACTAAAGAATCAACACATTGATTCAGAAAATTGAAACCAACTAGAGAGAACATTAAATAATTACAGGTTGAATATCCCTTAACAAAATGCTTGAGACCAGAAGTGTTTGTTTTGTTTTTCACCTTTTGGAATACCTAAATTTGCATAATACCTAAATTTGTATCTTGGAGATGGAATCCAAATCTAACATTTTCTGCTTCATATACTTCTTATATATGTATTTTATTACTTTTTTGTAAGAAACAAGGTGGAACTATTAGAACTATCTCAGCCACCCATGGGGGCAATTTGGGATTTCAGAATTCTGGGCAAGGGATGCTCAACCAGAGACTGAAAACTAGTCAGCCAAACAGAAAATTGAGATATAGACAGAATCATCTGAAAATTGGAAATTCAAAATACTCAAGTTTGTGTGTTTGAGTGGGAAAGGGACTGCAGATATATATATAATGCCTGTAAGAAATTGAGGTTTGTTTTCATCTCATATTTTCAGTATTCCACACACAAGCCTGTTCTCACTTCTTCTGGCATCAGATGGGACCTTTGGGGCTATAATTCTACACTGTAACTGTTGTGTAGGAAAGTCTAGGGGAGCAGATATGATAATAATGATGTTGAAGAGAAAGAGAAACAGTGAGTGAATATTCAATGGACAAATTGGTCTGGCCCACTACATTTTTGTCATGCTAGAGTTAAGTATATTTCTGGTGGGAAAACACTGAAGGAAGAAACAGACTGCACATTTTAAAATGAGAAATGATGATGATGGGGGCAATGACAGAATATTTCAGCAGTTCTCAGATGAAAACAATTGTCAATTTTAGAGGAACTTATTTACTTGTACTTTTTAACCAAGGCATTGATTTAACCCAAAGCTGATTTACAATTATAAAATAGTGAAAGAAGAAAATAATTCAGAGAAGCCTTCAACATACCTGGTTTTAATGTTTTAACAGCCACAGGCGTGGTATTATTCCACAAACCTTCCCAGACTTCACCAAACTGGCCAGAGCCCAATTTCTTCAAGAACTGCAGGGAGTTTCGATCTATCTCCCACTGATCAACAGTGTGGTATGACAGACCATTAGTTTCTGGTACATTTCTCTGGGTAAGAATAAAATAAAAACATGCATAAACTTTGTTTACTTTTAGGAAGTACAGTGTTGTCACTGCACATGAAGAACACAGCTGGTTACACCTTTATTAAGAGGCAGTGGGCTAAAGCAAAAGTGTAGCCAGTGAACAAAACGACCATGACAAATTTCTTCATAAGGGCCTTAAGGTGTTTCTAGCTATAAAGGCAACGCTTCCTGAAAGTTTCATACTATCAAAGCAGTATGGAACAGTTAATCAACTCTGAAGGAGAGTGTATGTTGTTGTTTATTTGTTCAGTTACTTCCAGCTCTTCGTGACCTCATGGATCAGCCCATGCCAGAGCTTCCTGTTGGCTGTCACCACCCCCAGCTTCTTCAGGGTCAAGCCAGTCTTACTTCAAGGATAACATCCATCCATCTTGCCCTTGGTTGGCTCCTCTTCCTTTTTCCTTCTATTTTCTGTCATTCTATTTTGGTTTAATATAACAGGACTCCATGGAGAAACTTTTTTCAGATTTAAAAAAGGAGCCTTTCCATACCTAAAATAATCCAGGGACAAAATGTGGCAAAAGTATCCCCCAAATTACTTCTGCAGCTCCTGAGGGCCACAAAAACTGTCCTGGGGCTTCATGCGGCCTATGGGATGCACCTTGCCACCCCCTTGCTGCCATAGCTACAACCTGGACTGTCACCCTGTTGGGAAATAGTCCATCCCAGGATAGATATTCACACATTATTGTGTGCATTTCTTATAAAACAAGATATGTTATACATAAAGCTTGAAAGTTCCCATTAATAGCTCTGTAATTCTTTTTGAAGCTGAAAGGTAAAAAATATCCTTAGATGACAATGATTGATTACTATTATAGTTACCTATATTCCCTTTAATATTTTGATTGGGACATAACATGATTGATTGAGACACAAAGAAGGCAAGCTTTAAGAACAATGACATAGTACCTATAGGAACCTGATGGGATTGTTTTTAGAGGCAGTACTTATAGAGAACAAGAATTATACGGTTGGTGGTTTCATGTCAGTATAAATTTACTTTATGCTGTACCTTCATAAACCATGAACTGGTATGCTTCTCTCCCCCCCCCCCCATACAATTATACATGATGATACATTTTTCATTTCTGTGAATGAAATGGAACAGTCATGTATGATTTCCTAAAGTAATCATGATGGCAGGGAGTAGGAGGATTAAGTGCTTATCAACTGATCCCAAAAATGTTCTCTCTATTTTCAAAGGGAAAAAAATATGCCCTGAAAGCACCCTACCTTTATACATGGGTTCCCAAGTTTTACACACAGCCCATCACTGGAAGTACTATAGTGTCTGACAAGATCATTCAAACTCTGAAAAGTTTTTCTTCGTGTCACAAAAAAGTTGCCGTCTTCCAGTTGCTTGATTTGATAGTGCTTCACATTCTCATCACTCCGCACTAGGAAATTAAAATAAGGGAGGAATTTCAGACACATGAAGATAACATGTGGGGAAACATCCAACCAAGTATTTTGTGGCTAAATTCTAGGAACTGAACAGTGAGGAACTCAGTGACTTATTTTACAATTACAGGTACAATTCCGACAAGGATGTGAGTAGCTATTCACTTTCCTTCTCTGATAACTGCTGGTTGTGTACCACAACACACTTTTCATGTATCAAAGCAACTGAGTATTTCTGGATGTGGGATTTTGGACCTTTGCTGTGATTCCTAGCACTAGCAAGGAGTGAAGGTATCATCACCAGGGGCTTTGAAGGAAGGGGCAGTGTATGTTTTCCTTGCTGCCTCTGGCTCGGCTCCTGGGGACTCACTCCTGGCAGAACTGAGGCCCTGACTCTACAAATCGAGGCCAGCAACAACACCTGGCAAGTGATAGCTCACAACTGGCTCGGGCCATGGGCTCTTCCACAATCCACTTATGACAGCACAACTGTCAAAATCTGTGTTCCTCTGGACTTTTACCAAACTGATCAATAACCTTTTGCTATCATCAGATAAGACTCTCCCCCCCCCCACCTCCTCAAATGTGATATGAGGACCTCATATCACATTTACCATCCCCAAAAAGGCCCAGGTTGTTTTTTGCCTTCCCCAATCTGTACCTAGAGAACATTGTGTTTTGAGGGGATTGGGGGAGTGGGTGGGTATTAAAAAAGGGCTGAAATGCTATGGAGAGGGAGATTAGGGGTAGTGGGGCAAAGGTGTCTACGTTGTTATATTGCAGCAATATCATAACTTATAATAATTGGTTTTTTAATGCATAGATGTTTTTTTCTTAACCTTTATTGTTTAATGTATATGCTTACTGTTTTTATATATTTGTACATACAGCATTGAATTGTTGCCAATTTGTAAGCTGCTCTGAGTCTCCTTTGGGATGAGAAGGACGAGGTATAAATATAGTAAATAAATTTACTATATTTCTTTATATATCTTCTTGTTAACTGCCTTCAAATCCACTTTAACTTATGGTGACCCCATGAATGAGAGGCTTCCAATTCATCCTATCATCAGTAGCTCTACTAGGTCTTGTAGATTCAGGGCTATGGCTTCCTTGGTTGAGTTTATTCATCTACAATACACTCTTCCTCTTTTCCTACTGTCTCCTGCATTGCCAAGCATTATTGTTTTTTTATAGTGAGTAAACTACTCTCCGAAGGTTCCAAGAGTATGGTTCCCTTGGTTCAGTCATCCTAAATTCTGAATGAGAGTTTGAGGAGCTGTGCTACACAGGTTTTTATAGAGAGATACATTCTGCCACTGAGGCATGCAAGTCATATCCATGTATCCATGGAACTGGTACCTGCAGTTTCATTTATCAGACAAAATATGTCATCTATGTCCTCTCTAGGCATTTTCTAGGTCCTCTTGTGCAATTCTAAAGTATTTTTAGGCCAGTTCTTTATTTCAATGGGGTTCATGATTATTCACAATTTTGCATATCCACACAAAGTCTGGGAACATTTCCCTCACAGATGCAGGGGTTATGCTACATTCATTCCACAAACCTGATTCCCACAACATTATGGTAAGGCACATAGTACAGAGAGGATCAGACATGGCTAATTGAACAGTTTTTTGGGGGTTTTTTACTGATCATAACTTTTATTGATTTTCTTTTTTTTATTTAGAAGTTCATATATCAGACTTGTAACAAATGTTCACCATTTACAGTTGCATACAAAAATCATAAAAGCATACAATCACAGATCTGAAAGGGACTGCAAGGTCAATCCATTCCGGCCATTTGCCATGGAGGAATTCCTAACCAAAATAAAGTGACAAAATAAACCTAAACCATATAAAAATAACCTCTAAAGATAAGTAACTCTGACCATGATTCACCAAATGGAAAAAATATTACTAGAATTAAAAAAAGTACTGTTCCATTATCCAGGTGTAGGCCACTAGGAGCCACTAGAGAGAGAATGATAATTCATTTTATGGGGGTGGGCAGTAGATTGAAGGAGTAAAACTATTTCCCTTGTTTTCCTGTTATTCCCCCCACCCATGTCCTCATCATGGAAAAAACCCTCCTTTATGATTTGGGGAGAGGGAATAATTAGTGAAAACAGGGGAAATGGCTTTCCTCCTTCAATTCCCCCCACCACCCCCCACCCCCAATGATGTCCTTCTCTCTCTAGTGGCACCTAGTGGCCCCAGTCTAGATAATGGAATACTACAAAAAAGAATTTTAAGAGATAAATTCTATGAGCTGAGTTATTTGATATATATGATCAGACACTGAGTAACAGGGACATAAAATTAACTCTGATGCTCCCTTTCTGTAAATCTGCATTTTCTTTGTGTTTTTGTTTTGTACTTTTAGGATGTGATAAGCTGGATATTTCCACTTGTATGGAAATTCATATATGTTTTGGAATGCACGTTCCTTATGTTTTCTACACATTTTTATTCGTAAGCACTTTAGTACACCATTTTCATACTGAAAATGTATTTACATTTTTCAAACATATGTAATTAGAATTGAGTGCATGTATTTGTATTGACTGCATTTTATGTATACTTTTGGGGGGAAAGCATAGGGAACTTGTGTTTCCTTCCAGTGATGGAAAGGTTAAAGATATGAACATAATTTTGTTAATAATCTTGTATCCATGAACTGAAAAATATATTTTAAACCCCCTGCTTAATACAATTAAGCACTAAAAAAAATTAAGAATAAAGGCAAGTCTTCTATTAGAAGTACCCTGTGTTCACCTAATGTGTAATCAGTGCATTTTAGAATTAAAAGTGTCTTTGTCAACTGCTTCTTCAACTGCTTCACCTGGTAGGCTTGATTCATACATTAATATATATTTATAAACAAAGAATAAAAATGAGTTTTTAAATGTGTGATTAATTGGTATTAGTGGCCTATTAGCATTCATGTAACTTTGTGAGAGAAGCAATTACAATATGACCTCTGTATTCATTTCTAGGAATTTGCTCTAGTGAGACTCCATGGTAACAACTGAAAAAAATACCATAGAATTGCTTGGAGAACCTAGAAAATTCCTAGATATAATGTATTTTGGCAAATGTAGGTAGGGAAAACTGTGGGCACTAGGCCTGGGTAACAACGGAAAAATTTGTTTCTAAAATCGATTCGTTTTTTGGGGTTTTTTGCGTTTCATTATTTAAAATAATTACAAAATTTTCCTTTTAAAAAGTTCGATATTTACGAAATTTCGTAAATGTGAAAAAAATTACAAAACATTAACGAATCGATTTCCGAAACAATAACGAATCGATTCGTTAATGGCGGACGCGACCGCGAAATAGGCTAAAAAACCTCCAAAAACTTCTGAAGCTTCCCTCTCCCTCTGTTGTTGACTGTTGGTGTGATATTATAATTTTTTTTCACTAATTAAACAAAAAACAACCATAAAACTTGCCCCAGACATGCGGAAATAATAACGAAACGACCTCAAAACAATAACGAAACGAATACAATAACGAAATACGAAGCATTTACAAAACTATTTAAAAATTCGTTTTTTTTAAAAAATTGCTCCAGAATGGTTCGTTATCGTTTTGTAATTGAAAAAATTAACGAATTATTAACGAATTACGAATTAACGAAATGAAACCGCCCAGCCCTAGTGGGCACCTGTCCCACAGGTATGGGGGTTGTGCTGTATAGATTTTAAATGAGCAAAATATAGGAAAGATTTAATTTAAAATGGTAAATATTTGCCAGAAGAAAGAAGAGATGAAAGTTTTGATACCTGACAGGGAGAATTCACTCCTTTGGCTTTCACTTTTTCTGATTAGGAAAGAGCCTTCCTGGTTATCAGGACAGAGCAGTTGTCTCTCGGCATCTGCTCGTGTAACATCTCCAAAATACCATCTAAAGCAGAGAAAAATGCAGAACCGATTAGTGAATCTAACCTAAATTTGTACCAAGAAACATATAATAAAACAAATCACCTCATTAGTTGGGTACTAAGGTTAAATTTGCCAATAAAAATGTATTGCAGCAACCAGTTTTATCGTAAAATGTTCATTTATCTGGGTGATTCTCCACAAGCTTGCAACCCCCAAATACATTTACAGAGAGACTTTAGTAATTAGCGGCATTAAACATATCTTAATTATAGAATTTACTATTGTTATTAAGTATAATTGCAAGTAAGAATTGTGAAAAATGTATTGCTTGTAATTTGTTTATACAGCATCCAATCTTTTAGTGGGTAGCAGCTTGATCTTTAATTATATGCTTATTGCTTTTGCCAAAGGTTATATACACAATCTAAGAAACAAATATAAAATGCTAGAGGAACAAAGATAGTTCAGAATTGCATGAAGTGGAGCAGTACATGCCCCCTGCTCCCACTCCCAAATCAAGATGTAGTATTGGTTGACTAGCTCTTACTCAAAATGCTTAGAACTGAAAGTGTTTTGTATTTTGGATGTTTTTGAATTTTGGAATGCCCCCATTTGCACATATGTATATAACAAGATATCATGAAGATGGGAACCACGTTTCAACATTAAATTCAGTGATATTTCATATACACGTCATAGTCATAGCCAATATTTTTAATAATTTTGTGAATGAGACAAAGTTTGTATATACTAAACCATCAGAAATCAAAAGGATCACTATCTTACCCACCCATTTGAACAAAATTTGGGTTCTGGAATATTTCAGATTTTCAGATATGGGGTGCTCAATCTGTAATACCAAATTACTAACAATTTTCTAATCCTTCGTTAAATGCTTAAATTGATACTTGAGGCATTAACCTTTTTCTGCCTAACAGTAGAGCAATCTGAAACACGTAAACATATGTAAGGAAATGCAATTTCAAACAAGCACAGAATACAAAAGAAAACTAAATTCCTTTTGACATATTCACCTTTGCTTGCCTACACTCACACCATTATACAGATTTTGATATTTTTCCTCTTTCATACATAGACACATTTTTGACAAGGTTGAAAAGTTCATGCACTTTTGCCCTATTTTTAGAACACAATGTTAGAAAGACATTTGAGAGTTTCCATTCCATTCTCTTCATCTCACTCTCTCGCTCTCTTTCTCATACGCTCACTCACATACAGAGGGGCCATTTCAATGGCTGGTACATCCAGTTCTTACATTGCCTATTTTGAGACAGACCAAACCTAAGAGGGAAAAGAAGCCAGCAACACATGATGCAGGAGATTAGGTGCACTTTGAATGTGTCTGTCTTTTTTTCTGTCTCTCAACAGACTGCTCAGAAATCAATAACGGCCAGGTAGGAGACAGCCCCGGTCATCCCTGCAAGTGGCACAGCAACAAAAGATTGTAATGATAGCAATGCTAGTTTATCCGGCTGCTTTCCTCTCCTGCAGTGGGTGTTTAAATTGCTCGTTCCACTTTAAAAGAATGAGATTTTATCAGAGAGACTGCCAAGTTTTGGCTAAGCCAGATTTCAGTACTAAAATAAGAACAGAAGCTTACTGGAAGTCTTTGGCAGATAATACAGCTTTCACAAGAGCGCTGTACTGCTGTTAAGGTGTGTTATTATCATTTCTTTTTTTGAAATAGCAATAACATTGAAAAACAACAGCAAAGACCTAATAATGATAGTGTTAGATTTTTCATCCTGCTCTTCCTCCTGAGATCTCAGGCTAATAAACAAAGAAATGCTGCGCTTCTTATATCTGCTGAGGTTGTTAGTCATTTCAAGTAGCCCAAGGTCAATATGATTCATGGCTGCATGGAAATCTGGACCTGTTATCTCTCTGGTGCTAATCCATTTCTCTGACTACTACATCACATTGGCTCCAGGTTTCACTGAACATACAAGGAGATCTTCTAAATCTTTTGTGGATCAGTATCATCAAAGTCATGAGAAGAACAAAGATTTTATAATGAATGTATTGTGTGATCTTCCAATGCAAGTTTTGAGAAACATGTGCATTAATGTTCTTGCTCATTCTAGGTTTTATTCAAAACAAAGACAAACCCTAGAACAGCATTTCTGTAATCCAAGGCAGATTTATAAAGCAGAACCCAAAATCATCAAAAAAACATTATAGACATCTAATTCTGTCATTTAATTAGAAGATAAATTGCAATTTCCATGTCTGGGGGTATGTTCATTTCTAAGCATAGCTACATTAAAAAATAAATTATCAAGGATGCACTATATACAGGTCTATACTGCAATGCATTTTACCAGATATGGATTCATAACAATGTACCTTGGTGCTGTACAATAAAATAAAAGGAATTGAACTTGTAGGATATTGATATGAATTGTTGTTGTTTATTCATTCAGTCGCTTCTGACTCTTTGTTACCTCCTGGACCAGCCCACATCAGAGCTGCCTGTCAGCCATCACCACCCCCAGCTCCTTCAAGATCGAGCCAGGATACTATCTATCTGTCTTGCCCCTGGTCAGCCCCTTTTCATTTTTCCTTCTGTTTTCCCCAACATCATTATCTTCTCCAAGTTATTGGTATAAATAGGGAACTGGAAATTCATAAAACTAGGATGAAGTGAATGATCTTCTACCATATGTGGCAACTGATCAGTTCACATCTGCTATATTAACAGAATTTTTGTTTAAATTAGAGAGGAAAACTGTGGGAGGCTAGTGGGGGTACATTAGCTTGCCAAGAAACCATAAAGGACTGCATACCTGCAACCTCCCATCAACCAGAAGTAGTAGTAATTTTCTGTTTACTTTTACTGTGGACTTAAAATGGCTTGGAAAAACAGAAATATGGATAACATCCTGCCATACTTCTTAGAAGGACTTTGGAATCAAAAAATTTAGACACACACACTCAGATCTGAAAATTAAGGTTGTGGGGTGAACTAGTAACCAATTTTTATAAGCAGACTTCAAGGACTGACCAAAGGCAGAAAAAAGTGTTTTCTGAGCTCCTAAGTAAAACTTCATATTAGCCAGCTCAATTATTTTGGCACCTGAAATAGATGATTTCATACACATCTGTATACCTGGCAGTAAAAATAAAACAAGAGCAAATTAAATGAAATTGATTTTTCTTCCCTCTTCACAACTCACAAAACCACCTGGAATGATTTTGTCACTCTTCCTAATAGCCTAGTTGTGCTCTAATCCAGAAACCCTACAATGCACAAAAGTGCAACTAAATCCCACTGAGCTCTTGCTGGATTTTATTCCGCATAACCAGTCTTGTGACCTTCATGGGACTAGAATAGCAGAGCAACAAAAACCTGGTTCTGGCACCAGTGACAGATACACGGTATGTATGTAGATAATACGGGTCAGAGCGGTCACACAATAAGTCAACCATCCTGAGAAGTACCTGCAAATAGGTCACAGCTGTGTGTGTGTGTGTGTGTATATATATATATAACACCAAGAGCAGCAGGAAGTCTGAATCTAAACTAGATTCCAGAGTAAAGCCCTGGAAACAACAATGTTTTATTTATTTAATCAATCACTGGTCTGTGAGTATAGTTGCTCAGTTGAGGAATGAGGAAACAGTAATAGCCTAGGTGAGGCTGGAGTTATGCTGACTTCAGTGTTAAGTATATATTCATTTTTTTTAATTAATTGGAAATGTTTCACTTCATCTTGTCACAGAGCCTTCAGTCCATCTTACAGGGCTTTATGATTCACAGATCCAACCTGTTCTGTCATATACAGAACTATATAAAATATATTTCACGTATTTTTCATCTATACAACTCCTGAGTGTTATGCCCTCAGTACTTGTCCTGATTTTCTTTCTTACCATTTATTATTGATTCTGCATGCATCTTCGATCCATATTTTAGTGGATAATGTGATTAACCATGTTGCGGCCCAGCTACCTACTTGATCCCTTTTTCACCCCAACACCACACGGATGAACAATAATAGTAAGTTTATTAAGAAAAGAATATGTAACATAAAACAGTTTCAAAATGCATCCATAAACTAGATTTCCAAAAGCTTAACAAAAAGCCATTATCAACTCTGAATAGGAATTCCAAAAATCATTTAAGGCAAATGCAAAAAATTGTAATCCAAGGATTGTTGCACTTAGACCAGAAATATTTCCAAAAACTGGAAAGTATGAACATGACCATAATCCAAAGGCTTGATACTTGAATTTGACTATAATCCCAAAGGCTTGAAACTTGAAACAAGATTTGTAATCCAAACAGGAGACACGGAACTTAAACAGGAAAACAAGATATAGACCCAAGATGATCTGGGGAGGCCCTCCTCTCGCTCCCACCATCGTAGCAAGCATGGTTAATGGGAACGAGCGAGAAGGCCTTCTCAGTGGTGCCCTCCCCCCGGCTTTGGAACACTCTCCCCAGAGAGATTAGGCAAGCCCCTACATTGTCCTCCTTCTGCAGGGACTTGAAGATCTGGTGGTTCCAGCAGGCCTTCAAAAATGATTAGCCCCAGGCCCTTCCCTTGGCCATCAGCTAGGACGCTGTTCTGCACATTATCCACTTCTCTGGCCCTGTGATACTTTGTTGCACTAGCCCTTGCCCAGACATTTCATAGCTGACCATGTCCACTTCATAATTCTCACCACTGATATTTTTAATCCCATCTGAAGGAGTAAAATTGAAACTGGCTTTTAAATTTTTGTGATTGTTTTAATTGGATTTATGTTGATGTTTTATAATGTTTAATTTTGTTGTGTTTTTTTTTAATTTGGCAATCAAATGTTTTGCCCTATGTTGGAAATCACTCTGAGTCCTCTTAGGGGGATAGGGTGGTATATAAATAAAGTTTTTATTATTATTATAGGGGGGGGTGAGAAAGAGGAGAAATGGTGTAAATATGTGTTACTAATGGGAAATGTTTTGAATGTTTTTATAATTTTGTATAGCACTATTCACAATAATTTTGAAAATTATAT